CTACCCTGGGGGTAACATGGCTGCGAGCCCTTCCCCCACCATGAAAGGCCTGCACTCCAGGGTGCCCCTGCTGTGCCTCCTACAGCTCCCAGGGCTCTGTTCAAAGACTATCTGGACCCTCCAAATATCCTGGGACAAGAGGCAGCAAGGGAGGCCTCTGGGGCAAGGAAAGTGAGGGCCACCAGGAAGAGAGCAGAGGACAGTTCCTGGCTCCAGGTTCTTTTCAGGAGTCTGTAAGGATTATGATTCTCATCTCACAGACTAGGAAGCAGAGGCCTTAAACATCTGCTCCTCTTGACTGGGACTGGGGAAGGATTGAACCCAAGACCCCTTCACCACTGAGCTACATGCCCAGCCCTTTTAATTTTTTATTTTGAGACAGGGTCTCACCAAGTTGCTTAGGGCCTTGATAAGTTGCTGAGGCTAGCCTCAAACTTGTGATCCTCCTGCCTCAGTCTCCTAAATTGCTGGATTACAGGCACATGCCACTGCGCCTAGCTAGACCGGAAACATTTGTGTGTTTTGCCTGAAGTTGTTGAGGTCTGTCTTATGGCAGACCAGGGATTTAAAAACAACGAAATCCAAGGCCCCTTTCTTTCAGTCTGGTGCTCTCTATACTGAGTTCCCAGGGCTGGGTTCTGTACCTCCAGGTGAGTGGGGAATTTTTCTGGTTTCTTGTAGGGACTCCTCCCCCTGGGACTGCTAACCTAGTGGGGGATGGGAGTGAGTTAACAAGCCCCTGAGAGTGTCCTGCCTTTGGCCTCCCCTGTGTCTCCTGTGGGCTCAGTTGGTGATGTCATGGAGGAGAGGGGCTCTCTGTCTGTGCTGAGTGACACCACAGCCAACTCATGGGTGCTTCACCCCTGGCTATGTGGCTGTGCTGTGGACTGAGCCCCAGGCTCTGCAAAGAGGCAGCAGCATGGACTCTTACAGACGTGGTCAGTCTTAGCCCCACGCAGACAGTGAGGAGGACGCTATCTAAATCTCCCCTGGTAGACCTGAAGAAGATCCAGCGACCTTGGTGGCAACCTCCCAGCCTGGGGCAGGCCCAATGGGTCCCTCCAGGTCCAGTCGAAGCTCCATCCTTGAGGACATCCTTTCATTAAGCTACCACCCCTGGTGTGGGGGGCTGGGCACTTCAGATTGTCAGAGCTGGGAGGAATTTGAAACCCCTTCAGCCCAAGCCCTTTATCTGGATAAGGCAATGAAGGACCAGAGAGGCTTGGTGGCTTGCTGAAGATCACACAGCCTGTTAGGGACAGTGGCAGGACTAGAAGCTCAAACCTCTAGCCACATCCTTGAGCTGTCCCATGACACTGTACTCTCCCACAGCCTGCCCCTCACCATCCTCCAGAGAGGAAAGACCCTTCCCCAGACCTAGGCCTCAGATACGCACCCTCTTCCCCAGAAACTCTGCATATCAAGGACTCTCAAAGGGTGGGCACAGGCAGGACCATAGGCTGGAACCCCAACACTCTGGACTAGACAGGAAAAGCTGCCCCCAGCCCCCAAAAGGACCAAGAGGGGCAGGAAGGAGCTCCCCTTGTTAGAGCCTAAAATGCTTCCCTGGGGGCTACTAAGGACCCCATGGGCTACAGTGGGGTGGCCCTGACCCTATCCAGTATGACAACTACACCGGGCTGGGCTCCGGTGGTAAGGGCTTCTTCCCCTCCTCGCCTCCTGGCCCAGGCCTTACTGCGCCTTCAGGGCCACAGGGCTCTCTCCCACTCTCCTGTTCCCTGAACCTGGAGTTCCCGGAATATAGGCAAACTCACCATCGCCCCCTGGCGCCGGCTCCCTGCCCACCTGCTCAGTTCACCCCTGTTGTTGCTAGGCCAAGAGGAAGCTGTTTTGCCAAAACAAGACACTTAAGTGGCCATTGTTCTATTAACCAGTCTTCCCGCCCAGCACCCAGCCTGGAGCCTGGCACACACTCCCACACACCTGTGTTCCCATTGCCAAGTCACAGAGGACAATTCAGGGAAGACAGGCAGGTGTAACAGGCAGAAGGCTGCTCAGGACCAACGATAGCATGATGCGGGTCTCAGGTGGGGGCTGTGTCCCTACAGGGGCGAAGGACACACAGAGCTTCAGAGGTGCCTGCACTTTGGGCTGAGGTTGGCAAGGTGAACTGAGTCCACGGGCCTGCCACCTTGGGAGCCTGCCCAGCCCGTCCTGGGGAAGGTGCCTTGTCCTAGAGGGTCCTGGATCTCACCAATCCAGAGCATGTGTGGTCTTGGGTGATTTGGAACCAGCATAAGAAATAGGAATTCCCAGCATAAGAAAATCTGTCCCACAAAGGATGGCTGTTTTATCAGTGGGTGTACTTCAGTCTTTCTCTAATAAGCACTGCAGGTCTAATGTGCACCATTGGGAAGAACAGATGCATGTATCCAGTGCGGCACCCGGCAATCCCACTCTCTGGGATTCCAGCCACTGTTAGGGAACCAGAAAGGGAGTCGGGGAAGTTTGTCCAACCCTCTTCTTTGGAAGGTGGAGGAAAACTAGATGTAGAGAGAAGATATTTGTTCAAATTTAGAGGAGCCAGGATTAGACACCAGAGGATGACGATGATGGAGGTAATTCCTAACACTGTGGTTATATCTGCATCTCTATCAACGTTGGAACGTTGGATGTTGTTCTAGAAGAGGCTTACTAGGTGAAAGACCTTCCTTCCTTCCTTCCTTCCTTCCTTCCTTCCTTCCTTCCTTCCTTCCTTCTTTCCTTCCTTCCTTCCCTTCTCCTTCCTCCTCCTCCCTCTCCTTCTTTTTCTTTGTTGTGTTGGACTCCAGTCTATTTTTCTACACTTTTTATTGGTGCATGATAGTTTTACATAATGGTGGCACTTGCTGTTACATATTCTTACATGCACACAATATAACAGTATCTATTCTATTGGTGCTGTTATTATTCCATTTTATAAAGGAAAAAAACTAAGGTATAGGGAGGTTTAGAGCTTGCCCACAGCCTGGAACTTGGTCAGTTCTCTGTCCACCACAGCATGAAACTTTTGATTGGTTTTGGGTTTTTGTTGGTGTTTTTGTTCATTTGTTTGGTTAGTTGGTTGTTTTTGAGATGGGGGTTTCCCCAAACTTGTTCAGGCTGGCCTCCAACTTGGATTCTCCTGCTTCAGTCTCCCAAGTCACTGTGATTCTAGGTCTGCAAACAGCACCTGTCTCACCTTTGCTTTTGAATATGGAGAAACTGAGCGCCTTGTCCATCCCTTTCCCAAGATCCTTCTGAAGACTTAGTTTCTCCCATAGGAGCATTAGCAGGCTCATGCCCATTGGCCACCATCTTCCTTACTAGTGTTTAGAGCTGAGACAGAAACTGAAATCATCTCTCTGCAGTAAAGCCCTCGGGGAGAAGGCTTGGCCTTATTGACCAGCATCTCCCAGCCCATTCCCGTCTCATCAATCTCAACAAATACTTCAAACATGATTAGCAGCCCCCTCTCTAGCTTGCCCTGTCCTTACCCCAGAGAATCCACCTAAGACCAAAGGACAAATTTAAAAACCTTCAATAAGGAAAGAATGGTTCATTTCTTTCATTTTGAAGTAAGTTCTGACAATCTCCCTTCCAAGATGATCATGGCCTACCATACCTTTGACATTTAAGTATTAATTAGAAGTCTTTATTTTTTCATTAAACATAAAAGGTTGTTCTCCATCCTTTGTTCCTCCAGCAACCTTTCACATGGGTTCCTGACTCTGGGGACATGGACCTCCTGGGACCATGGGCCTCCTGGGTGGACACCTCCCCATCACCCTGCCCCAGGACCAGGCCCATCCATTCACCTCCACTGTGAGCACAGCCTCCCTCTAGATAGCTCAGCCCTTCTCTTTGGGTATAGGGACCATCAAATTTAGACTCCCACCAAGCCACCCAGGAGGACACCATTGTTGTGACTGCAGTTTCACGTTCTCCAGGCTTCCAACAAAACTCCATTCCATCCTATATGCCATTCTTTCTGATCACCAGCAACCCCATTGAGTCTCAGAGGCCTGAGGCCAAAAGACCTTGGTGAGGTGGAGACATGAGCCAAGGAGACCAGAAGGCAGGGGAGGTGGCCTGGGGAAAGAAGAGTCAAGAGGGCACAAAAAGGTTGGTAGGAAAAATAATGGTAAAGCTTCCAGAAACACATCTGGAGTTCAAAATGGACCACAAGCCAACTCCAGGCTGGAACACAGAATGAACTGATCTTTCTCAAATCCAGGCTGGCCCGTCTCCCTCGAGTCCCAGATTCTATCATATCAAGAAAGTACAAAGAACATGGAGAGGAGCAGAAAACAAGACCTGAGCACTCAGAAAAGTTAGAAAGCAGAGGCATAGTTGAAGCCTTGGGAAGGCTTTACACATCTGTAACCAGCTTTTCCGCCCACAGAAAACAGCTCAGCTGCTCTCTACTACCCCAAGAGCAGCAAAGGAAAAGAACCATGTTGTAGCAAGGAATTGTGGTTAGACACAAGGAAGCCCTTCCCAAGATGAGGATTATTGAGCAAAAATAAGTGACTAAGCATGGTTGAAAAATCCCTTAAAAATCTTTAAATGTACACAGAAAGTCATATTTTTCTGGGAAGGTTTTGGAATCTACTAGGGGATTAAACAAGGTAGACTTGAAGATCAGGTAAGATGCTCTTGATTCTCAAACCAGCAAAAATCAGGTTAGGTTAGATTAGATTAGCAACCAGCAAAACTGACCACTTAACAGCACAGATGTCCTGGCCAGACTGCTCACAGGTCACAAAGAAGGGCTCAGCCACTCAGTCCTGGGACCTGAATCCAAATTCCACCAGCTTCTCCCCGCAGAAGCAGCTTCCAGGGATCATGATGCATAGGAGGCCCAGAGATCCTAGTCCCCAGTAACTTCCGACCAGAGGAGGCATTCTTTTCCCCGCAAACCAGAGGCACCCGAGCGGCTGTGCCTCACCTGTCTCCCAGCCGCCCCTGTCCCTCAGCACCGGGAAGATCAGCCAGCAGAGACCCACACGCACACTTACCCTGCCGCTGTCCCTCTCCATGGCCTCCCAGGGATGAGTCTTAGGCTTAGCTGATGTCAAGAGGAAGGTCCATGTTGCCCCCAGCTTCCCAGGCATGTGGGGAAAAGGAGGTTGAGGGCTGAGGGCCGGCCCTGCGAACGGGCGGGGAGGCTGGTTGGATGTGAGGTAATCCTGAGTATAAACAAGGCAGAACTTGCCAGACCTGTCCCTCCGCCCTCCCTGTTCATCCCAGTTACTCAGCGAATACCGAAAACCGGGAGCATGTGCTGCCTCTGCTCCTGAAACTGCCCCCACAGAGGCAGCTGGAGGGCACTGGCCGGCCTCCTTCAGAGGACCAAGGAGGCCCCATGAGGATGGCTGAGCCCAACTGACCTGAGCCTCCATCACAGAGGCACCGGATCCGGGATGATCCTGTCCCCACAGGGGACATCCATGGCCAGGGACAGAGCCCCACCCAGGGCAGGACAGTATGGAGCTCCATGCCAAGGGTCACACATCTAAACCCCACATCAGGGCAAGTGGTCTGGTAAATTTTTTTCTGAATCCAGGGAAGTTATTTCTGTGAAAACTCTTGATAAAGAAATTAAAATCAAATGGCTTTAATTATGCACATAATGAATTGCCTCTATTGAAAACAATAAAATTTATGAAACAGTGCAACAAAGTCAATTAAATTGAAACACATAAATATCTGAATGGAAACTGTTCCAGGAATTATTGGGCTGACTCATGATCCCACACCTGCGCCCCATTCTGATCCTCAGAGTCAAAAGGAAGAGCTTCATGCACCAAGCCTGGCCGAGCTCCGCTGAGGAATGCCAGGAGAAGGGGTTGGGAATTAGCTGGATCAGGGGAGGTTTCATATTAGGAGCATCTGGGACACTAAGATTTTTAGAGTGAAAGGGAAGCTCAGAGATCATCTGGTGGCCAGAGGACTGAAGGATCACAAGTCACCTGTAGCAAACAACAATAGCAATTATAATAAGAAGCGGGATGTCCTGTGAGACACTTTACATAGGTCTTTCATGCATTCTTTCAACAAATATTTATTGAGTGTCTGGCCCTGTTTTAGGGATACCATAAAAATCAACATGGCTGCAGAATGGTCTTTTCTAAGCATTAGAGATTTTTCTGGCAGGGGTAAATTGCCACACAGGCATCTTATCAGGAACTGGATATGACAGAGGGAACAATTTTCTGAAATCTAACAATACTTTCTGAGAAATATTAGATTGGCCAGTTCGCCTATTGACACAGACATTCTAATGTACTTAAAAAATTTTATGCCAAACATGGTGGTGCACACCTGTGATCCCAGCAACTCAAGGAGGCTGAGGCAGGAGGATTGCAAGTTCAAAGTCAGCCTCAACAATTTAGTGAGACCCTCAGCAACTCAACGAGACCCTGTCTCAAAATAAAAGATAAAAAGGGCCTTGGATGTGACTCAGTGGTTAAGCGCCCTGGGTTCAATTCCCAGTGCCAATATACATACATACATACATAAATCTATGATCACCCTACTTTGAGCCAGTTTCCAATTGCTGAACTTATCTCAAGCCTATTTATATTCCCCAAAGAATGCTCCCAACCAGGGACCCTGGTTTCTGCACAATTATTCTGCACCTGAATGAAACTCTCTTTGCTTTTATTTCAGTCTATGATTTCTTGGTTTACAATAGGTTCTGGGAACACAATAGCTAAGACTCAAGTCTGATGGCACTGGGATCGGGATGGGGGGAGGCAGACAAAAATCAACAAACCAATTAAACAGTACATTAGACAGTGAGACATGCAATAGAGGAATAGAGAAGGGACGGAATTAAGAAGGTGGAGGACACAGTCACAATTTGAAATATGGTGTCCAGGGGTGGCCTCTCAGGTGAGCTTTGAGTGAAGACTTAAAGGAAGTGATGATTCCCTCCCCCATTTACATTTAAGAAAATACAAGCTTCTAGCTCAGGGTGGAAACCATCGGCTCCACCTTAGGGTAGCTGAGGGGCATCTAATGCAGAGGCAGGGGCTGGAGGAAAGAAGTTCTGGAAGCCCCCCAGGGGCTCTAATTCTGTGGTGCTGGTTCCCTGGCCTTCCAAGAAAGCAGAACTCAGCCACAGGCCACATCCCCTTCCAGCCTCCCCCCAGCCCTCCATGCCCCAGAAGAGGGACCCTTCCCACCTGTCGTCCAGTCCTGAAGACAGGCCTGCATTTGTCCTCCTCTCTTCCTCTTCCCTCTTTAACCACCAGGGAGCCACAGGCTGCCTCTGAGCCTGGGCATCCATAGGCCAGTTGAGGGTCCCCACTTTGTCCCTAAGCAGGCCACTTGCCTCTGAGAGTCAGCCTCAACCTCTTTCCGTGAAGGTCTCACTGACCTCTGGAAAGAGCTCAGCCTTGGGGTTCTGGGCGACGGTTCTGGAAAAACTCAAGGTCCAGGTCAAGTTTGTGACCCTGGAGGTCTGCTGCTCCACCATCCAGACAACAGGTCTAACACGTCTGACTGGAGAGCGTGCCTGGCACCGGGCACTGGCTGGGCTCTAACGAAGATGAGTTTATTTCACATTTTTTCCCTTATTTTCCATCAGAAACACGAATCAGCCTGTCCTGGAGAGGAGCAAAGCTAATGAATTCAGGACTCCAAAGGAGGAGCCTTGTCCGAAGCAGGAGACAAGGAGAAGATTGGGAACAGAATGACCCAGAGCTCTGTGTCTCTGCCTGGAGCCCCAGAAAGGACTTCCTAGTGCTCCCAGAGAGAGGAAGCTGGGGCAGCCGTGAAACTGGGGGTTTAGTCTCAACATGGTTGTGGGTTCCTTCACTATTTTGGAGGGGTGTCAGATGTCATGTGCTTGTTTGCGTGGGGGCTGGCACATCTTTTTATGTAAAACTGCTTTCACCCCAAATGGAGGAGCTGGGGTTGACGGAGCCACTATCCGCCTGCAGAATCCCTCCGAGGGCCTTGGCTGCTCTGTACCAGGCCTACAGGGCTGCTGGGAGCCGTGTGGTGGCCGTGGGAGTAGAGGATGACAAGGAACAAAAGGCAGGGACCTGCCTGGGGGCACACGGTGGCATCAGATTCTTTGTGGTGGTTTTCCTGTTTCCGGAGTGGAAAGTACAGGGGCTGGGCTTGAAGACCTGGACTCGTCCCCAACAAGTCTGTCTTGGAGGCCTGGCCCTGCCCTTGGCTTCTGCACCTGACCTTGGCTTGGCTCTGCCCTTTCCTGGTTCCCTTCTTCGGGTCTCTTTGGCCCGCTGCCTGACTGCACAACCCCGGTCTTCTTCTGACTGACCCTTCCCTTGACTTTGCTCCCCTCCTGCCTTGATGGCTGCCTCCCTCCCTCCAGCTCCCTGGCTGCCTTCTGGCACGATGCCAGGCAGGCTCTCAGCCTTCACCACCCCCACACAGGGGCCACCCGCAGCACCTGGCACCTGCCTGTTACCTCCCTGTGTGGGGACCGCAGGCTACCTACCCGGCAGTCCACAACCCCAGCTTCTGGTTATTTCCATTTGGGGTGAAAGCAGTTTTACATAAAAAGATGTGCCAGCCCCCACGCAAACAAGCACATGACATCTGACACCCCTCCAAAATAGTGAAGGAACCCACAACCATGTTGAGACTAAACCCCCAGTTTCACGGCTGCCCCAGCTTCCTCTCTCTGGGAGCACTAGGAAGTCCTTTCTGGGGCTCCAGGCAGAGACACAGAGCTCTGGGTCATTCTGTTCCCAATCTTATCTTCTCCTGTCTCTTGCTTCAGACAAGGCTCCTCCTTTGGAGTCCTGAATTCATTAGCTTTGCTCCTGAATCACCTGCCCCCAGACTCCTTCCTTGGGGCCCTCTACCCTTCTCTCCTTTGCATCCCAACCTTCTCCATCACTCAGAGCACAACAATGGGCTTCCCGCCAGGCCTGAGGGTGACCAGGACACAGACCGCATATCTAGAGGCCAGATAGGGCAGGGAGGAAACACTGAGCCCACACTGGAGGGACTGGGTCACCAGTGGTCACTCTCTGGGCCTGAGGCAGCATATACCCTCAAACCCAGCCCTCTTCCCAGCCCAGGTGAGGGCCGCCACTCCCACCCCACTCAATTCCTGCGCAGTTTTGAATCTCTGGACTTGGTTCTAGCCACCCTTCTTACCCCAGGCCTGTGGAAGGTTAGTAGATGCTGCCTAAACCGCTGGTCAGAGGTATTCCTGGTGCTGGAGCGGGGCCTGGGGTGTAAGGATATATATGTTTTCAAGCTGAGAGATAATAACATAAGAGCCTAAGCAGAGTCCTGATCCCCAGAGGGTCTCTCAGCCCACCCTAAGGAAGGCTTATGGGGGACGCTGCCGGTGAGGCAGCTCTAAAGTTCAAGCAGATATTGGGCCTGTCAACCGAGTAGTGGGACAGGGAGGAAGAAAGGACAGGTGCACCAGGAGGGGAAGCCAGGAGATAAACAAGGCCAGAGGACCTCCAGTACTTCCACCAGTGGCTCTAAATCCTAAACCCAGGAGGCACGAGGCTGTTCCTGGCTATGGATTGGCTGCTCTGTGTGTCGTTGAGAACACGAGGGACAAAAAGGGACAAGGACCCATTCTTTCCCCCTCAATTGGCACTGTTCTCATTGCATCATCAAAAACCTGCTGTTGTGGGGATAAACCAGGGAAGAAGGCCCTGGCGGGACTCCTGGCAGCCTCTGCACACACAGGCCCCACTTCCTCCGAGGCAGGCAGAGCCAGCGGCTGGGCCCGCCCTCCAGGACCTCCCAGGCCAGAGCCGCTGAGAGCACCCCCGTGATGCTGGGCCTGGTAGCCGCCTGCCTGTGCCCAGGTGGCTCCAGGCAGTGGAAAATCCCATTCCCCGCGTGGGTTGCGTTCTGTGTGGAGTGGCCGCCTCTTTCCAAAAAAGGAGTTGATGCAGCTGCCCTTCCTTGTGATTCACCCGCGTGTCTTTGGCTCCTCACTCCCCTCTATGGGGACATGTGGCAGAAGTCAAATCACACTTCCTCATAACAGCCATTCTCACACTTGAGGGCAATAGTTTGGTGACCCTTTGAGTAGGTGGCTTTTCACACTGAACACACCCAGTTCCTTCGCTTGCTTCTGGGGTGAGGGAGACACAGGTTTCCTCACCTTGTGAGTTTCCCCGTGGGCACCATAAGTCTCCTAAAGTGGGG